CCAGTCGGTGGATAATGATTTCCACATGTCATGACTGACGTGGCTTCCAAGGCAGTGGGCACACCGGGTGAGGTTGAGCTCTTCGATCCACAGCTTGGGCACTGGAGCCAGCCCCTCGAGCGATGAGAGGGGTGAGCAGCTGTGATGAGAGCAGTTGCGGTGTACTGGATCCCAGCTGGACAGCTTGGCTTTTGGGTGGAGTGGGTTGAAGCAAGCTCTTTGAGTCCACGGCTGGTTGATGGTAGGGAGGAGTGGCCTATGGGACATGTCTGGATCACCAGGGTATTTTTGAGGCAACACATTGTTTAGTGAAAACACATTGTGGGCCTACCATCTCATGTTCCTGTGTGCACATCGGGAATTGCTGTGCTAATGTGGACATGTGCGCACTTGGCATGGTGCGCCACGTGAACCTGGCAGTAAGCCACTCAGCGGAGGGACAGCTCTAGGTCTCCTTGAGTAGAGGCCAAACAAATATCAGCGAATGATTCACCTTTTGAATCCTTTTGACTTCTAGGGCTTTTTCTTCAGAGTGACCATGAGGATGACTCAATGACTCTAGAGTGGCCAGGCTGAAGCAGCCCATCAGCGATCCCTTTGATCCATGGAGCCGAGGCGAAGCAGATTCGGCTGGGAAGATGTCACAAGCATCAGGGCTGTCTAAGTGGCAGCTAGTCCTCCCTGTTGCAGGGTTTGCACCTCCAAATCATGGAAAAAACATATGCAGATCCAATTTCACTGCAACAATAAACCAAGAAAACACAAAGACATCCTGGACATGAAACAACATATATACTGTATATACTACTGTATATATGCACATGGGTCTTCTTTGTGAAGTGATGTTCCATCAGCCTAGTTCTATCAGGTTGCATCGGGAGGTCGGCGTTCAGCACTGGACGCTGGCCAAGGTGCTCCGATGAGGGTGGAGGGACCGGGAAGGACAAAGGGTAGCTTCTTGCGGTCCTATTTGACTGCTATAGTTTGCAAACGGAATTCTAGCCGCACTGGCCCGAAAAAATCACAAGATCTCATGCTCTGTAAAGTCTAGGCGCATAATGGCGCATACAGTATATAACAAAAGCATGCAGCAGGTTTCTCAGTAACATGCTATTTTTTTGTGCCATCGACCTTCATCTATTTGCTATCCGTACGGCCGTTGCCTGTTGTTCAGGCACACGCGCTGCAGCGCCATGGCCACAGACCCCTTTGGGAAGCTCTACGTGTGCGGCGGCTACCGCTTCGCACCTCGGCCGGGTGTGTCCAGGGGTCAGGCGGGATGGGAACAGCGTGTAGGTGAGCTGTGCAGCTGTGCTAGGACCTAGGAACAACTAGGACTCTGAAGTTTCGCAAAAGTGGAGTCCACGCCAGATCGCAGCACTGTGGCCAGAGCATGACGACGTGTAGTTGTTTTCCTCGATGTTCTTCGAGGATTTTGCCGCACACAACATTTATTTGTGCCTAAGGAGTGTAGTAACACGAAGTTACTAGTAGCTCCTGGCATCACTACTACTAGCAAGAAACTACTAAGTTGGAGGCCATCGCTACTACTATATAGTAAGAAGGGTATATTTTACAGCCTTTCATCTCGGTGCAGTGCGTGTCTGTGGGCATTTGGCGCTTGAAAAATGTTTGCAGCTCCACCAGATGTCAACATATTTGGCTTTCGGCTTTTTCTAAAACCAAATTGTATCCAAATATATCCAAATATTTTCAATTAAACATCGCAAAGGTGGTAGCCCAGCAAATGGAAATCTTGAATAATATCACCCCCTAGAACTATAGGACTTTTTTTTTTTTTTTTTGGCTAGGTGCAATTTACAAAATACTTTGAAATGTTCATGTTTTCCTTCTTTAGGGAATTGGGAGAGCCACAAGTGTTGTTTGCCTTTGAAGATCTTCGCTCCCCTAAACCACCCAACAGCATCATTCCAGCGTGCTCATGGGGACAGATGAGTCCAATGCTCCCAACCCCTCCATGTCCGCACAGAATCCTTCAACCCCTCCATGTCCGCTTGCACTGAATGGAACGCCCGTTTCGGAGGACTTTCGCGCCAGCCGTCACGTGGAAGTGGTGGACTTGAAGGAGAACTTCTCTGTGCCTGGACCGCTGCTTGGCCGACAGCGATCTGGAACACATCGGTGGATATGACAGACGGAACGGTTCAGAAGATTTCAGAAGGGCCGCTCAAAAGAGCCAGTCGGTTCACCAAGTTTTTCCGCCTGATCATCTTTTCGGTTTGTAGCAAGAACCCCTGAAAGATCCCTTTTTAGCGTCTTTTTCAGCTACATGGCTTTGCTGGAAGGCGACGTGATCAGCTCTTTGATTCGAGGACCCCCCCAAACTCACAGACGAGCGACGTCCCGCTTCGTCAAAGGCGACGCAGCCAGAGGGCCCTCGAGATGATTTGTAGATTGGGGACCGTGCTTGGAGGGATTCCATAACTTACAAATTGTATCAAAATAATATTACATGTATTTAAAAGTCTTCATTCATCAATACTTCGAAGTGATGATATGAGGCCAAGTATCACTCCATGTTTTGGTATGACCGCCCGGATTTGGTCCTGTACCAACGTCCTTACAATGACCTCGAAGAATGTACTGCCTCCCCGAGAAAATCACAGAGAACGGGCTACAGGATATATGTCAACTGATGTCCTAGAAGCAGGCTTTACCAAATAAAAAAAGAACATACACGCATGGCAAACGTTCCCCAGGTTTGCTGACGCGTGCATTGGTATCCATCATGGAGCCCGTTGATTCTCAGGATTTTGCCAAGCGCGTCGGCGGGCGGAGTGCTGGCGCTCGTGCGCTTGCCCCACTGGTGTGCGCACTGAGATGTCTACGAGTGGAACTTCCCAGCTTGAAATGCATGTGGAAACCGCTGGGCAATAGTGCGGAACTTTGTCGTCCCAATAGAAGGTCAATTAGTCACAACGTTTCACCATGCGGTTGTTTGGTTCTTAAAGAGAACACCCCGAGGCCCAGGGGTCTACAAGGTTTGGCCATGTTTGGTTCTTCGCTAATCTGAACAATTTCGATCTGGCTCCTCGAAACTGATCTCGTCTCAACTCTACTTCCGTCTAGGCGGAAGTCAACGGAGACATAAAGAGACTAAACAAGCTCAAGAGAGCGCTCTTGAACCCAAGAATTCCGAAAGGAACCCGAATCAGGATTGCAGCTGGACTCACAGGGATGTCCAGCATCTGCTGTAGCAGACTGTAACTGTAACAGAAGAGAAGAGAAAGACAAACAGACACTTAACTGGAATTACATGAAGCTCACAAAAGATCACATGAAAGAATCAAAGGAGTTCAAGAGGAACCAAAGAGTTTTTCCACACTGATTCCAAGGGAGTTTTTGAGGATTGAAGTAATATTGCCATGTTAAATGTCAAATGCGATGCACCCGATCTAAAGCGACCGAACATGTCCCAGCATACTGTAGCAAAAGGCACACACAGGACATACAAAAATAGATCAAACATCGAATCACATGGAGCTCAAGAGACCTCGAGGAGAAGAGCCAAAGTCAAGATGAACCAAACAAGTCTTTGTTTTTTTTTAACAGGAAGTGGACGGAGATTCAAGCACAATCTAGAAATGGCATTGACAAAAACAAGCCAAGCAAAGTATGAATCAACATGAGTCAAATTTCAATAAAACAATATCGACGGGCACCAAAAGGAGCAAACAATTGTTTTCAGAGTCTGGCAATCAGAATCCAACGGAATCCAACGAGGCTGCTTTTTCACTGGTGTCCTCACGCCGTGTCATTCCGAGCATCCTGGGTGGCCATGATGCTTTGCCATTGTGAGCATGCGTGAGGCTCCGTCCCAGAAGGAGGATGTTGGCAAGCATTTCTCGGAACATGCCAGAAGATATGCCAGATCAAATGGAAGAGGATATGGCAAGGAGAACATGTCAGGAAATGTGCCTGTTACATAGTAATTGAACTTATATAGATGAAAATGCATGCTGCATATCTCAGAACATATGCCGCTACGAAATAACAGGGTACGGTACGTTCTGTCAAAATGCAAAAGGGTACAAAAGAAAGATGAATCGCAAGTAAAAGCATATGCTAGCTCACATTGGGGGGGGGAGGGTGGATCCAACATCAAGAGGTTAGTACTGCATACCGTGTTTGGGAGCCATTGGTTAGCCTGAACCAGAAAATCGGCCGCTAGTCGTCAATGAAATATATGGTGTAGGCTTTCTTGGGGTGGTTTTGGGATTCCGGAGGGTGTTGGGTCAGATGGGGAGGGCGCATGGTGAACTCATTGGAGTGACGTTCCCTTCGGCATGAGTTGACCATGAGCCAGCAGGAACCACGTTTTTTGAGCAAATGTGGTTTCGAGAGGAGGACAACAGGCAGTAATCGACAGGAGGATAGAATGCAGGATTGGTGAAGTTAAGAGTTTGATGGGAGCGAAGGAAAAGGATATTCAGGAGGTGGTCTCAAGATTTTTGGAGAATTTAGGAGAAGCACCCCAAAGGTGAGTAATGTTGGACCAAATTCACAGGAGGGGGTAGTCAAACCTGCGTTGATACGGTCGACCAGTTCAGTTGTTGAGAGGCAGGGACTGGGAAGACTTTTAGCACTCCTATGGAGAATTGTGACTTCTAGTGAACCTCCTTTTCGAGGAGATGGAACGCACACATGCGTGTCTTCACATGTACGAAGCCGAATTCGATGCCGCCGAGTGGGTGGCGGAGTGTACAAAGCCAAGGCCGCGCAAGCGCGGCCCATTGCATGTTTCGATATGTTTCGATTGAGGAGTGCGGTCTTGCTGAAGCGGGTGTGGAAGAAAGTATGCAGATGATCTGTCAGTGGTTTTAATGACATTGGACCGGCGGACCGGCCGAGAGTTCCCTCCCCCAACGGGCAGATAGATCGAAACGGGAATTTGGTGCCAGTTTGGCTGTCGGAGTTTGCCCTCCAATGAGCCTAAAGCCGCAGACGGAGCACCGGAAGAGACGGGCAAGTCTGGCCAGGTCCTCAAGCCTTCAAGGCAGTGGTTCAAGATCGCAGCTGGAGCTAAAGGTCTCGTGGCCGGGCGCCCCAGTCAGACCCGTGTTGACGAGGTTTGGGAAAGTCGGAAGGGAATGGGCGGAATGGGTACTTTTTCATAAACACTTTTGCAGCTGGAACTTGTTCAAGGTCGTCGAGGCTTCCAAACCTGGTCCAGGAGCCACGATTCTTTGGGGTTTTGAGCTTGGCTCCTCCAGGGCTGGTCCCGCCCTGGGGCCGGTGCCGCAACCACCACTCGCGGAGCGGACGTCGTTCGGACCGGTGGAGCGGACTCTGGAGCGGAGCGGGGCCTGGCCTAAGCTTCACATGATCTGGTGTGTTCGACTTCTAGAGTCAAGACTAACTGGATTTAACTGGTCTTGCATCAGAGATCAGCTCTTCAACTTCACCAAACATGCAGGCAGTTCTGGCAGCATCTTCCAGTCTTTCCTTTGAACCTGAGGAAGGCTAGAGTTGGTTTCGGATTCAGGGTCAAATCAGCCTCTCGCCCAGTTGGAGAGCGTCTTCGGTGCACAAAGACAGAGTCTTTTTGATATATTGATTCTATCTTTGATCATGCAAAGGTTGAGGCTGAGGACAACATTTTTCATGGGGACCCACTTCCTCCGAATCTGATGTTTAGAGATGTCTCCTCTAAATTGGCTCTCCGATTGATATGGGAAAGACTTGGGTTGGAGGCCATCGCTAGTAGGTTGGAGGCCAATCCCTCCTTAGACTTGGACTTCGTTGGCTCGTTTCGTCGACCTGTCCAGGTGGAGCGGGCCCTGCGCCGCGCACCCGAAGGGGTCGGGTGTGCGAGCCGCGATGGCGGACGAAGGGGGTCGATCGCGAGGGTCGCATGGGTCGATCACGAGCTTTTTACGGAAGAAAAGGGTGAGATCCCGGTGAGGACCATGTTCAGAAGATGGGTCAAACGCCCCAAAACGTATGGGACGAAGATAACAGTCCTCAGTTTGTCTTCACATGAGATCCTCCATGCTTCAGAGTCCAGTATCTCATTGCAGGTGAAGCACCGGCGTCCCAGTGATATGGGCAAGAGTTGAAGCCGGCGATAAATGAGCAAGGAGAGGAAACCCATTGGTCTTTGTGGTTGTGTCATGCTGCCCAAGTGCAGAGGGAAGCCAAGTTGTCCTTTGGAGATTAGTATTTTCGAGGCGACGGCATTTGTGATCTACAAACACTCGTACCATATGGGCTTTTGTGGTGCCAGACCGCACCATGTTGGACGATGGTTGTCGAAATTTGATTTGAAGTCTTGCTGCAAGGTTCCCGATGGTTATGCCCACAGCTCCACAACCATGAGTTCTTGACCCCATCACATGCTGATCTCGTTGACAAACTCTGTGGCAGCTGCAGAAAACATACATTTTGATAATGTTTTGTTTTTTGGGGGGCTCTCTCACCTTGATCGACAACAGCATACTCCTTGAGTCTTCTTTTCGCGATTGACGGGAGTTGGTTTCTTCATGTGTCTTCAGATCTTCGGATCTCTTTGAAAAGTACACACTCCTTGAGTTGTTTCTTCCAGTTCGGGGCGCGAACCCCGGAGATCAACTCAACACGCAGGCCTGTCTCGAGATCGGCACCTATGTGGGTCCGCTCCTCGTATGGCCAGACCTTTGCCCAGCCAAAGTTAGGTGCTTTTCTAGGATGGAATTGATTGATTCTGACCATTCCAACCACGATCTAGGCCTCTCAATGTAAATCGATCACCCACCACTTACGGTGAAACTTCCTGTCGTAAGTTCGACACTCATGGAGGGAGAGTTCCAGATGAAGTCATAGAGAGAACACTAGACTAGACTCCTTGACCTAGTGGGACGACCAGTTGCTTTGACCACCTCAAACGGTTTCTCCAAAGGTTTCCGCGTTTCAGTGCCAGCCGCACACCTATAAGACCCTGAAGGAGAACCAGACCCCAGCAAATCCATTCGCAGCGATTTCGAGCTCCAAAGTTTGACGCCAAAGGTCATGGCAAACACTGCACCTCTTGAAAGAACGAACTGAAAGAACTTGGCTTTGAAAGAGCATACGTCTTCAGACGTCCAAAGGTAGTGTGTATTCAAGATATGCATACCATATCAACCTTTGCTCCAAGAAGGCTTGACATCGAAACATACAACGGGCGCATTGCCCGTTGTGACCACGGTGTCGGGTGGCTTTTCAAAAGGTAGCCAGGCAGAAGCGCAGAGTTATGCAGGTCCACAACCCATGCTATTAGTAACAAGGGCATCGCTGTTAGTAGAAAAGGGCATTACTACGTAGGAGTAGCAAAGGGCACTGCAAGGGGCATTTCTAGTAGTAGCTCCTCTGTCATGGATGGTTTGGTAGTAGGCCGCCGCGGCATGGAGCACCAGTTGAAGGTGGGGAAATTGGCGGAATGTGGCCGCCGTCTCTCTCAGGGCCCCAGAGATTGTGGTGGACGCGAGGTCAAACGCCGCCCCAAAGGCAAAATTGTTCTAAACATATTATGTGTTTCAAAGTGAGCTCTTGCAAGTTTCTCTCCTACAAGACCATGAGCAGAGGTCAAATACCTGACCAAATTGGGGGCAACTCTCAGCAATGTAGCCTCAAGGCATTCGAAGGCCAGGTAGTCGAGAAGTATGCCTCTTCCGGTGTACTTGCTCAAACACTGCACAGGAATGAGCCCATTTTGGGGTGCTTTGGGGGGGCAAATTCCTTGGGCAAGTTGGCATTTGGTTTGCATTGATCCCATGTTTAAACCCTGTTCATCCTTGTTCATATCTCACCCCTAAAAAACCAAATGCAGTATTGAAACGTGGCTTTCATGCCTTCTTGTCGACATGCGGATTCTTGCCTGTATTGACAGCCTTTATCCTGATACAGCTCCTAAGTTGCCGTGTTCGTTTGGCTCCATGAAATCTTAGTCTTAGAGGTTGAGTTTTACTTGTTAAAGAACCAGTTGTTTTCAAGGGAAGCGTGGACAGTGTGTAAGGTGGCTGATTCTTTACATGTAAAGCAGAAAAGGGAAGAGTGTGAGGACAGGATAATTAGGTTTGAGGTTCATGTTCTTGCTTGTTACTCCTTGCGTTGTTATTCTCACAGCAGGGACATAGGCAGAAAGGAACGTGAGTTGGGAGAATTGGTGCTGTTGGCACCTAAACCCTAAACCCTACTTGAGCCTACTTGCGGACTTTGGAGCCATGAGGCCTAGAAATCGTGGTCCAGCGAACGTCCAACTTCCACACCGAGCCACACCGCTCCCCAGGCCGCCAGGACGAATCGCCGAATTCTTCTCCTCGCCTTCGTGGTGTTGGGCTCCAGTGTCGGGGCACCCAAGCCACTTCCTCAGAAGCATAATATGTGTTATGCATATATATATATATATAACTTTTCTAAAAATACATATATATATATATATACATATGCAGCCGCACATAACAACACACATATGTATGTAAAAAACATGCAATATACATATATAGTTATATATGAACTTGTATAACTTGTCAAATGTAAACTTACACTGGATACCGGAGGATGTGGTACATAGCGTGGCCGTGGTGTTGTTTCACTGTTGTCCGGGTACTTTCCACGAGTCGGATGACTTTCCACTGCCCATGCGACCCCAGGTGACTACATCCAAGGCTACTAGTAGCGTCCTTGTTAGTAGTAATGATGCCAGGAGCTACTAGTAGCGTCCTTGCTCCTAGTAGCGATGCCCTTTGCTCCTAGCAGCGTCCTTGCTCCTAGTAGCTATTTGCTACTAGTAGCGATGCCATTGTTCCTAGTAGCTTCTTGTTGCTATTGTCCAATGATTGCCAATTACATGCCTAGCCCTAGAGGCCTATTTGGCCTGTCGAAGTGACCAAATCATCGCTAACATTGGGTCGACTCTGCACAGACTTTTTGGCAAAGTAGGCTTGACCGAGTGTAGAGGAAAATCGGCTGGTCCTTTGCAATGTCGGGTGACAAGCTACAGAAAGATATACAGTAGACAGAATCCATCAGAATCCTTTTGCGTGCCTTCATTTTGCAAGCTATTCGTTCGTCCAAGAAAAGTTTGACCAACTTCGGACATTTCCTCATGATTCCTCGTGCTTGAAACTTCATTGGTATGGCACAAATCAGGGACGCTGAGTCAATTTGTGGACAGTCCACGAGCGCAATGCGATGTGCTCTAACCTTGTCCTGGGCCTTTGCCACCAAGTCACCTTGACCTTGCTGTGTTTGGAAGCTTCAGGTGACTTTCTCCCACTTACCTGCCAGTCGAGCTCGCCGAACTCTGAGCGCAGAGACGGGCGGAGATGGAGGGCCAGGTTAGACACACCAAGCGTTTCTTTGTGCGGGACTTTTGGCCACCAAGATACCGAAAGTGAGATAGATTTCAATTCGTTCAAGAAGTATGTCAATTTCAGTGCGCTGTAACAAGCGGTCATGACCTAAAGGTCTTTTTAGTGTCGGCTACCCTCATGTGTTCCATTCGTGGCAGCGCTGTGCGGCGCTTTGCGGCGCGTTCTGTGTGGGGTGACCATGGAGATGGCAGAACTGATTCGCAGAGCTGGGCCCCGTAGGCACTTGAGGATCGTCCAGGGGACTGTGTGATTTGGCAGCCGTGAAACCGATTCAAAGCCCCAAAAGCCCTCGCTCACTATTGCAACCTGACCATGCTTCTTGCTGTGGTCAGCTCGCACTGTGGTGCTCTCGTGGTGCTTGCATAGTTTTGGATCATCCACCCATGTTTCCTCGCTAAACCTCTTCAGTCCTGGCAGAAGCTCCGATGGAACACTGGAGCCGGTCCAAAACATGCCACCAATTGGACGAATTGGACTTAGTTAGACTCCGCCCCAGTAACAAGGAAGTGGAAGCCAGGGTAATCAGTTTTTAATAATGTTCATGATGCCGGCCAAAAGTCAAGTGCATGACATGCCGATCATTTTTGGCTGTTTAGAGGTCTGAGGTGGGATGACATGCCGATCATACGCAAGGTTTTTCGATGGTTCATGGCATGTGTTCAGAAACTCAGAACGTTTCTATCATCGATTTCTTTGAGTCCATCGATTTCGAACAGCAAGCTCCAGTAAGCGCTCCAAGACGTTTGGCCAATGGCGCCACAGCAGCTGTACCTCCGTCTGCTCTAGGGACCTTTTTGCTTCCTTGCGCGGTTGCCAACGATTTGCAGAGAAGCAATGATATCAATGATATCTGAATGATGAAGCAGACTTGTGAATGCAATGAGGTTGGCCTTGAATGGCTAGCAGTGAAGCCAGGCAACGCTTGAACAGTCCAACGCGTTCGCTGCGTTCAGGTCCGCGAGGGGCGTGCTGGCCATCATGCGCTCACGAGTGTTGCCATGAGTGTCATAACACTACACCAACAACATGTAGTAAGTAGGCCCTGCTGGCACGCCATGAGGTCGTCGATTCTGGCTGGCCATCCCACTGCTGAGTGCACCAGCCTGGGCGGAAGAAAGGCCCGTTTATGTGCTGGTAAGCGCGTGCTTGCCGGGCGACGTGCTCCGCTCAAAACCAAGAAGATCAGGGGAGTCAGAGCTGAACAAATCATCGTAAAACATCGTAAAACATCCATTGCCGTCGGTTGGCCGAGAGAAACTTCTGCCAGGATGAGGTCTTTCAAGAAGGTGGATTCTGCTGCTTGGCTCGGGCGAGGACATGTTGTCCTAATTTCTTTGGTCAGTTTGATGGTCATCAGCAAAACACGTGGTTGTTGGGGGAGTTGACTGCATGGATGACTGCTGATTTATCTTGGGACCAACACTGGGATTGACGGCTTGAGGTCATCAACTCATACACCGAGAATGCTGGTGTCGCAGGGCAGAACAACCAACAAGTAGCTGCCTATGCAGACCTGGGCGAGGTTCGGGAACCGACGGAGATCGCAGTTCGGTCGTCTTCCGCATGTGTCGCATTTGTCGCCATCGGATCCGTCGCATCCCATTGGCGCCGCGACAGCGACAAATCGGATTGGTGTGTTTCTTCCCACCACGATTTGTGGGCAGCAGGTGGGCCGTCGGGTCACAAGTTGTCACAAGTTTGCGGGTGTGCATGCCGACATGCGACAAATAACCCACTCGTCAAATGTAAGAGGCATTTCCCAGCGTCAAGTTTTTCGGTCTCAAAAGGAACCATGAGTCGATCTCCAGGGCTTGAAGGCCGCCACGATCTACAAGCCCAAGCAGCTGGCCTGAGAGGTGATGGTGACCTTGTGGCCTTGTGACCTTAGAGGGGCTAAGTACGGCTAAGTGGCCTTCCCAGGGATGCATCTCCAAGTTCTGAATGGCATTGAATGGCGATTGTTCATATTATTGTTCAGATTCTTCATGGGGCACGTGGTGGAAAGGGAAATAGAATTTGATAGAATGTTCGAAGGCGGTGCCCCTTTCAATGACCAAGGGAGGGCAATTCTTGCGAGATACTGGTAGTTCATAGTTGTCCCATGAAGGGGGCCACTCTCAAACCCACGCCGATGCGCACAGCAAGGTGGTGGAGACCAGGAACAGTGGACAAGCTTGAGCTATCTTGAGTCCCTCTTTTTGGGGGATTGGTTTCTCCACGCTCTTCAACCAGTGGAACCGTTCGGTTGACCAAATTCTTTCAACAGGCAGTTGACCAAGGACGGTTCCCCCGAAGCCAAAGCACGGACCCGGGACCCGATCCTCGAGATCGCCACATCACGTGAAAACTTCATATGTAGAGGGCCCCCCCCCCCCCGCGGGTTCAACTCCCCCCTGGGACGCCTCCACTTTGGTTCAACTCCTCCGTGGAGGTTTTGGGATACGATGCAACAGATTCAACAGATTCACAAGCTAAGGTTGGCTGTGTCATTGCTGTCCGTGTGTCTGTCTTACATGTTCACAACGTTTTACCTCATGAGCGAGACCTTGTGAACCATCCCTCCAACAGCCCCATGCCTATGATTTTTTTTTTGCCTCACTCCGCTTGATGTCCCACCAATCCTTTGTCACTGGACGGCGCTGTATGCTTCGCCTCCACTGACACGGATGCATCCCTGTTAGCTTTCGTCACCTACCCTCGGCCTAATATATAAGTATATATATATATTATAGAGGTCAAGTGACAAGTGGATGAGTTTAAAAGTTTGAGTTCATATTGGATTGAGCGAGCTTGTTAACTGAAAAGGATCATCAAACACTGCATGTTATACATCTTCAGTTCAAAAAGATATTCAGCTCTAATTCAAGTTCAATTAACACTGCTATATATCTTCAGTTCAATTAACACAGTTATTCAAATTCGAGTTCTAAAGTTTGCGTTCACTCTTCTGGTGTCCGACTCGAATCTGCCGCCCCGTTGTGGCTCAGGGCCGACACCAACGAGGCTGCGCGGACGGTGCAAAACGGGGACGTGGTCACGGTCGACCTGCTGCTCGGTTGGCGGGTCAATCCAGGGCCGCTTCCGGTGCAAGGGGGAGCTCCACCATGGCTTTTTTCAGATCTGTGAATTCAACAAATTCAGCGGACAGAGCTCCGGAATGCATGAAACGAGATCCTAACAGCAAGACGACCAGAAGAACCAAAGCAATCATGAGGTTAGCAAGGTCAGATGGTCCTAGTGTCCATATTGTTTGAACGGTTGCTTCATCCCTGCCTTGCTAGATGTTCTCACACTGTGGCTGCATCCTGTGTAGCGTGCTTTTCCCAGGATTGGATATTTGACTGGCTGGAATGGCAATATCTTCGTTCGCACCCAGGACACCACGCACCTACACCCATTTCCAGCGTAGACGTTGCTTTATGACATAGCAGTAATAGATATGACTTTTGGAGTACAAGGAGTTCATCCAAACTAGTGTACAAAGTCCGACAAAGTACCGGCCCGCACGTACAAGTACCAATTTTGTATAACTTCCCAGTTTGGAGTCCTAAGGGCGGACTGTGCCGTGGGTTGTGCCGTGGTGCGCGAGTTTGGCACCAGCCATGTGAGATAGTCACAGCTCAAGCACAACTGTTCTTGACATCCGGCTAGTCTGTTTCCATCTGTTTCCACTGTTTCGGACAAACTGCTTTTGATCCTTTTCAGCTTGGTTGCACGACTGCAGCACCAAGCGAGGATAAGAGCGGCTACTCTGAGAAACCCGTGACCTTCAAGGTCGGCTCAGGCGATGCAATCCCTGGGCTCGACCGTGGCGTGGTGGGGATGCTCAAAGGCGCGGAGGAGTTGTGGGATTGAAGTCCGAGGAGCGGATCAAGTGCAGCCGTGTAGCCTTCGTTTCGGATGCTTTGAGTCATTTTCTATGTAAAAAAAGTGCATAAGAGTCATTCTTCCCGTAAACAGGATGTCGTCGTACGGCTGATTTTTGAACCCAAAGTAAGTTGGGAAAGGAGAGTTGTTAAATGGCATCTTTGATTTGCAAGTCATTTCTTTGATGAAGCTTTGGTTGCTCTATGGCTGCTCTCAACAGGTGAGAAACGACGCCTGGTGATTCCCCCGGCGCTGGGGCCACTTGGAGCTGAAACCTGGAACACCTGGAAATGCCGAACCGGGGGAGCTCTTCGTCACCTTCGAACAGCTCAGGTACCCGCGGCCCTGCACAGAAGAACAGCTGGGAAAACCGGGTGCAATTCCTGATCCACGGGAGCGCCTCGGCATTTCGATGTGTGTGGGTATGTGTGGGTGTGACGGGGTGTGTGTCGGGTTTTGGCTGAGGCCCAGGATGAAGCTTCGCTGGTCGAGCGGCCCAGGACCGCCCCATATCTCCCTTCGAGCTCGGTCTCAGAATGTCTAAGACCATACCCTACGAGTCCAAGGACCAAGTTAAACCTGGTCCTTGACCTCCTTGAGTACTGGCTTTGTATGACCATCTCCAGTAAAATGAGGTCTTTGACTTGTAGGGATAGGGAATTCTTTGGGCCCTTCATTTCAGTATGTCATTATGTTACCCAGGTATTGGTGCAACCCTACTTGCCAGTGGAGTACATTGCTTGCTTATGGGGCAAGAAGGGTTTATATAACGCCTTGATCTCGAGCATTTAGGGACACTTTGGTGAATATTCAGTCATGCGATGTATTAAATTGTTGATAATTGTTTTATGCTGCCTGTCATGTGATGTCATGTGGAACATACACCCGCAGGATATATAGATAGAGGCTAACCTCCTTATCATGCAGCATGTTGAAGCTTTGTTGTCCTGACATTTTACCCCGACCAATTTGCAGGTTTGTGCTGTTAGATCGAAACTCGTAGCAGCTGGGAGAATGCACAGAAAGCTCCCACAATCCACTGAGATCGCAGCCATGGGCCATGTGGCAGTAATCAGTATACTCAACACATATCGAAACGGAGCCTTGGCTCATGGTGTTTTGCATTGTCGTATGTGTTTCCTAACAATTTGTTCCATGTTATATATATATATGTAATTAATGTTCAGTTCAGTCTATGACTCAGTCTCAGTAGGTCAGTTTTTGTCGCAAATGATGGAAACCACAGCCCCCCACAGTCGGAGCCGAAAGCGGTGAACGCGAAGATCGAAACGGCCAGTGAGGGCCAGGACAAGGGGAAGCACCACCGCCAAGGTGAAGTCCGATCCCACCAGATCAACCAAGTCCAGACCTTGGATCACGAGGTCCATATACCAAAGGTGTTTTTTCGGTTACTGGGGCACCGAACCTGAAGCACCGGTCCTTTGTGGGACAACACCGGACCAAACACGGCACGTTTTCAACAGCGACCCCACTCCCCTCCCTCGGGTCCCTCACTCTCTAGGTCGGCCTCTGGCTCGGGCGAACCCTGGGAGCTCCGGAACCGGCTTTTGAGCCTCGGGAGCCTGATGAGGTCCAGGTGGCATCCAGACATATCCAGACCATCCAGCCCCACAGAGGGGATGGAGAAGACATTGAGGAAATTGAAGATGTTGAATCGATTTCGGTTGGCTTCCATGAAGTTCAGAAACAGACAGCAGGCAATTCTTTAGGACTTGCCGACTTGCACTGGTCCCATTGCCATTTTTGGGCTCGGCGTGTTTGGGGTTTCATCGGGGTCACTCCGAGGTGAGTTGGTGGTGGTTGAATTGGTTGATTTCTGGTCTATGAACCTGATGTGATGCGTTCTAAACCAACTATGTTTACTTTTCTTAGCCTTATACGCGCGCTTTATATGTTTTGCTTGCATTTTTCCCGCAGACTGACACCGGGTAGACCAGCGGTTCTGACGCTGTGCCAGAGTGGTTCTCCAAGGGGCCGTGGTGGTGAGTGGGGCCAATGTGGCACACATTGCCTTTGGTTCTGCCCTGAAAAAAATCGAAGTGGAGAACGAGGAAAAGTGTGTTTCCAGGGGTGATGCATCCACTTGTATGATCTGTTTCGGGGAGTGTAGTTCGTTCGACATTTAAATCATAAAGCCATCCTTCGGTAGCGAGAGATGCCAGACCGAGTGGATGGTCGTATGTCATGGCTTTGCTGACCATTATATATCCATTATCCATAAGATCCACTCTCAAGACTGATAGACAGTCTATTCCACCTGACTGCGGCACAAGGAATGGTGTCCTGAACAACGCCCGGGATGACACCCTGGTCATCGATGTGAAGATCGACCGCATCAGTTGAGGCATTTCCAAGCGCGAAAAGGCTGATGTGCTGAGATTGACTTGGCAAATCGTCAACTGATGACTTTTCAAAGTCGACAAGTCGACATCCCCTCACTGTTTGTTGAATTGCATTTCCAGAAGATAGTTAAAGACCGTGGTCAAAATTGACCGCGCAATTCCCATCTTGTCAGCTTTGTAGCTCTTCCTCCAGTCAGGCGCACGTTGATTCGAAGGTCCGTCGTAACGGATGCCCGCCGAGGCTTTACGGCCATTCGTTGTGCAGCAGGCGGGCGGTCGAGGGTCGCAGTGGGAGTCAGGAAGGCATGCTGCACTTGGACTTCAGACATGCTGCTTATTGTGCTTCAGTCCCGGTTTGCAACAAAGCATTGAGGGTTGGTTTCATCGCTGGCCAAAGTGAGGCTGAAGATTTCCATCATGAAAGCCTGAATGCAGCACACTATCACAACGGTTGAAGCGACAACTACTACATGCTAGTACCCATCTGTTGGTGTACTGCATACAGCGGTTGAAGTTGAAGGTTGGGTTCAATATGCATGTGTGGGACAGTTTGACACGCCGCACCATTTATATGTTCACCCATGTGCAAACGCATTTCAATCGAGCAGCAAGCTCTCTTGAGCTGCAGGCACACGGCGGCAAACATGCATGAGAAAGACATGGATGGTCGGTCTGAATTCCTTACAAAGGCACGAAGACTTCGTTCACCGCTTCACCAGCAGTTCTTTTCACTGGGCTCCCATCCGGGCGAACGACGTCCAAAACGGCCATGGGGGCGGATGACCGGCGAGACCCCAACGCAGATCTGCTGGAGAACTTGGGCTATGGACCGCCTTGGAGGTCGCGAGCCGAAGTCGGTCAGTGGGCGAGCTCCTTGAGCGGGAGGTGTGCGACATATGACAGAAACTGTAACAATCCTGGACTTGGATTCATGATCACCAGGAGGGCAAGATCATGCAAGATCCATTTCTTGCATCATTTGAGCAATGAAGCTCCATGCCAGGCCTGGGGACCTCCTGGAAGAGTTGCAGCAGGAGAGGTGTTCCTGATGGCTGGGCTGTCAATATCTAGCACCTGTCGAAGACCTGGCTGTGTTCGGTTCCCATGATGAGGGACACACTTGGTGTGTGCAGATTTGGTCGGATAAGCAGAGAGAGAGAGAGATCTCGATGCAGGGAGAGAGCAAAGCCCGCAGAGAGAGAGAGAGAGAGAGAGAGAGAGAGAGGGAGAGATGGATGAGTAGGATGACCCAAGCTCCTTAGACCTTTTTGGACACTTTGTTTTCCCCTTCTTGGATCTAGAAACTAGACCAGTCTATTTCCTGGTGTTTTTCAGAAAGAGAGACATATCCATGGATAGAATGACTCAAAGCCCAAGACTCCTTCCTCATGACTTGGCGTAGATGAGATTGAAGAGAATCCAAGGCTCTTCATCGTATGACTCCTTTTCAACTGAAGCTTGAGTCATTGATGACAAAATCCTGCGCCACCGAACGCTTCGGCGCTATTTCTTGTGTTCGTTCCTGGATGTGATGATGATGTTCGGAAGATGTTGGTCGTTTTGGTTGCACTGGCCCTTGGGCTCGTGAAAAGAATGGCAGGTGGAAGCATAGTGCATTGCCACATGCCAAATGTTCGTCATTAGGTAATCTGCCCATTCAGAGGCATCTAGAGGTAGTGGTGCGAGTCCTAGTTTCGTTGGCCACAGGCCACAGATATGGAAGTTACGTCAGCATCAGCCCGCCCAATGAGACGTTGTCTTCAGCATGCAGATGATTTCCTTGCTGTGGACCTGTGCTTCAAGTGGGGCCCTATGACACTTTCTGTTTCAAAGCTGTCTCCTCGCCTGTCCGGGTCAGGACCATGCATTCTTCGACCCAAAAAATCGAAGCACTTTGCAGGAGTACGTCCGCACACTGCGAGCCCGAGATTCTTTGGTCCGCTGCGCATTGTATGCCAGAAAGCCAGAAGTGAATAAACTCCAAGATGAGGAGTACATGCCACTTGGATTCAATTAGTTAGCTCATTTTGTCCGGGAGGTGATTGTTGGGTTTTGAATGGTTTTGTCCACAGCAAGAAGGTACATAACCATTGCATTGCCTGCACATCAGCGTCCACATGCCCTCACATGCCACAGAACATTGCATCACCCCAACCCGTTTGCTTCAGCATAGCTGGACCTGGCTCATAAATACCGTCTCGCATTGGCTCACTATGTCTCGCGTTTTGGGGAAACCACTCCGTTCGATACGTCCCACTCCGTTCGAGACGTCCTCCTCCGTTCGCGAGCCTTTGGGCGTCCTTCTCCGTTCGCACGATGAATCAGGAAGCGTCATGACTTCTCGGTGCTCGTTTGTCCTTTGGACGACGCCTTGCCCTTTTCGGGGCCTGGTTTGGAGCAGGGCCACATCATTTGGGCCTTTGGGCAGATGTGGAGAATGAGTGGGCAATGATGGGTGCAAATGGGTAGTATAGTATAGGCGGTGCGGTGCTGGGTAGGTGTGGGGCCCATTTGGCTCGATCGGGTTTCCACTGACATGGCACCAGGTTCCACGCAGTCAGACTGCATGTGTGTGTGGATAGAGATCAACGTGGCATGGGCATGGGGCACCAGTTGCGGTGGCTTTGACTTAGACAATATCTATTAAATTGTTCTTTTGAAGGCAAACAAGACCATGGCTTTGGATCCGTATGAGTTCAGTACATATACGCAGAGCTGCCAAGATCGGAACATGAGCTCAGTACACAGAGCAAGAGGCACAGACCGGTCACTAGCTGCGGCACTTCTCGGTTTTCACTCAGGTCTACTTCGGACCCGAGAAGTTCCAGCAACTCAGGAGAGTCCTGGAGAAACCACCGGTCTATTCAGACCGGTCCTGGCTATGAAACTCATGGATCCGGCAGTTGGCTCGACTTCTTCGGTTTTTCCGCAGAGATATATATAGAGAGAGAGATGGATGAGTGGATGGACCCTTTGTTTCCCTCTTCTTGGATCCCTCGTCACCGGACATCGTCACCGGACATCGGTTGGAGATGTTTGGAACCGTTCCATGATGGGCCGTCGACCGGGAGGATGGCGCTTTGGACCATTGGTTTGGACCTCCTTGAGGGCAGTCCCCAGGAAGCAGTTCGCCTGCCGCCTCAGTGTGACTCGATTGGAGGTTCTCAGGGAATTCTCAGGCCATATGGAGACCAGTCGGGCCTGCAACATCCTGCGGGCCAACCAAGTTACAACTGCAGCAGCTTTGATTCCTTGTAATCTGTTGGGCATACCGATACCGCTGCCCCAGCGTTTGATGTTTTGGACGGGGGGCATGCTAGCCGTAGCCCAGAACGATGGCACGACGCGCAAAGAACTTCGCTAGCACCCCAATGTCACGCAAACTGATAAACTGATGGAACATATATATATTTCAAGACTCTTCAAGACCTCTCCATATGCGTGGACACTCAGTCAAGCAGCCACTTAAATGTCACTCGGTTCGAGGCACTCAGTTCGAGCAGGAGCTCTTCCTCAGCAAAGATCCCATCTTCCGTTGGGACCACACAGCCCACTCTCGCTCCGAGGATGGCATGCGGGGAGCATGTTGGGACACACACGACCAACCGTCGGGTGGATCAGGGACATGTTTGCATTGAAGAATGGAGGTTCAGCAACGAGCATAATAAGGGATGTGTTGGATGATTTGCGTGTGACAGATTGAACGTGGAAAAAAGACATCCCGTGCAACGGTGAATCACGGTGAAGGAGAAAGCAGGAGTGCAATTCCGTGTCTTCGCTGTGCCATTGTCGTGGCCGCCACGAGTCTTGTCTCATGGAACCGTGTAGCACCGGCACATGTCCAGGAGATTCGCCTCAGGGATTACGTGTACTATCCCTGGGACGGGCGCCTAGCGAAGCACGGTGCAAAAGGGCTCAACGGTCGGGTGTGTCGCGCAGTCAGGGCTCCAAGGTCGTTGTGTCAAAAGGGATCCCATTTGGGCAGACAAAGCCAAGCAAGATCCTTTGAAGGAAAGATCTCCTTGGCGTTTTGATGAGCTTGGGACCCTGGGATGGGGCATGTTTGCCTAGGAAACACAAGTAGCCAGACCTCCTGGCAAACATGCAGAGCATTGGTAGGAAAAAACACGCTCCCTGCCAAAGGATCAAAAGAACTGAGTGTGTGGAACCTGGTTCGTGGAGTTGCTGCAACCTCGAAGGCCCATAGATTGGAAAGGCCATGTCAAGTGCATCCGCAATTCACATAGCAGATCATAGCATAATGCCTCACTATGCCTTCAATACCGTGGGCATCCGCATCGTGAGGAAGCACCAACCCACTCTTGTTTTATATAGGGCTTGGCTTTCATATTATGTTTTCATGCTTTTGGACGCTTGGGTTTGGCTTACTGGCTTCTATCCTCATACCAGAGTGCCAGACCTTCTATCGCCAGCCAGGGCGGGCCCCGAATGGACGTGTTTGGGCCCAAGTAGTTGTCAGGTGTCGGGAGGGACGGAATTGGATGGAATTGGAACGGAAAGGAGACAGGTGATATCATGATATCAGGTGCTTCATTGTTTTTCATTGGGGTGAATAGCTTTTTACAGCCTCCTACGGGTACTTGAGTCCAAGCTGCCTTCAAGTTCGAGCTTTGACTCGAGAAGTGCACTGAAAGCACTCAATTCTCATCGTCCAACCGGATCGTCCTTGAATAAGAACCCGTCTCTGGTTGGTGGGGGGGTTGTAGTAGGGAGTTCAAGGTTGATGAAATACGATGTATACTTCAACCCATCCGGCTATACATCATAATTTCATGGCTAACAGCCTCGTTGGACCTTGTGGAATCCATCTCGCTTGGGCCTTGTGATGGACGAGCCATGCAGAGGGTAAGGGATCAAAATAAAAATAAAAATAGAATCCAAAAAAGTATTCAAAATAAAAAGGTAATCAAAAAAAATCTAGCCCACTGAGGATGGTTGGGGTAGTAGAGGAGAGTGTACCTCCCCAGGAGCTCCCTCCTAGTAGGGAGCTATTTCCACTGGTGAACCATTTTTCGAGTAGGGCTACTCAATGACTGGACGGCAACCTTATCGTTGGGTACCTACTTTCTTCCCAGGGAGCTGCCTCTAGTAGAAAGCAATCAAGCCTCTATTTGCGCATGCAGGGGACCAGGAGATCGACAGACGAGCGCCGTAGGAGAGCAAAAGACCAGCGGACCAGGAGACAGAAGGACTAGGATACCAGGGGACCAGCGGACCACAGGACCAGAGGACCAGGAGACCGGAGGACTAGGGGACCAGTGGACTAAAGGACCAAGGGACCAGGGGACCAAAGGACCAGTGGACCAGAGGACCAAGGGACCAAAGGACCAAGGGACCACATTACCAGAGGACCCGCAGACCACAAGGCCAGGAGAGCAGCAGAAGAGGCCTATCAAGGAATATTTTTTGTGATTCGCTTTTTATTTTTGTTGACCCTGTTTTTATTTTTTTGATGCTCTTTTTATTTTTTGATACCTATGCCCCATGCAGAGCTGGTGAGACCTCTCAGGTGGTGTCCCTCGAGGTGGACCCCGAACATGCCGTGGTGGCGCAATGCTCGGAACGCTCAGCTCGCTGGCAGCCGCTGGCTCGCTCTGACCGCGGTGTCACGGAAGCATCGGTCCTTTCGAATGGCTTTGCCGCTGACTTGGCACCCACCGAGAGACCATCCCAGACCATCCCAAAGCGGCTGGAGGTGGGTTCTTTGTATCTGTGTTCCTGTTTCCTATTCCGTGTCCTTTGCAACTATGATGGAACCTCACAAGATGGCGTTGAAACGATGTGGTTCCGGACGTTTTGAGCAGACGAGCCACTTGGCTGGAGTTGGGCGTTGCCAGGTTGATGGTTTGAAAGCAACATTTGGTGTCCCTCCAAAGCATCAACTCAACGCGTTGGGATGAGCCACTTGGCTATTGGGACAGAGTTTGGTACCAACCTCAAGATGTCCCTTGGGGCTGTGAGAAGCTGGACGGTCCAGCACTGCACCTGTTGAGGCATGGCCTTGCATGCAGGTGTCGGCCGCCAGGCGAAAGATGGCGAAAGTGGTTCCAGGTCGGTGTGGCGATGATTTCCACAAAGAGACTCTACCCTGGATTCCACTAAAAAACTATAATGAGAAGGATTTGTTTAGGGGACCCGGAGAAGGACTGTCATTTACTTCAGAGGGTCAAAAGACATATACTGTATATATATTATGATAATTTATGTGTATATATATATATATAGAGAGAGAGTTTGTGGACTTCTAGGGTCTACGCATGGTAGGGGTTTGGTGGCAGCCTTTGGACATTTGACATGGTTGAACCGTGTTGAACACCTGTCACTCACCTTTGTATGACGTGTCTCCAAAGACCTGACCGCATATGTGTTGCATTGAACCAGTCATTGAACCATATTGAACCTTGCAAATGCGGTCAAGCCGAGTCAAGCCTCAGATTCACGAACGTTGCTGGTGAATGTTTGATGTTTCATGTTTGGCAACTGGTTGACCGCGTGGCAACAATGGTGATTGTTGCGCTTACCCAGAGCCTCAAGGTTTGTTTATTATTTGATGAGATTTCAGCCTTCCAAACTGTCCTTGTCAGCCTTGTTGGATGCCAAGATCCCTTTCGTGACTACCATGTTGGGGTGTTGAGGGTGGGAGGGGCTGCAGTAGCAGTGGAACATTCAATCTTTTCCGATAGGCCCATCACACTCCCGGGAATCCTTCCATGATGCCATTGAACGGTTGGCAATCGGTTTTCCACGGCAGGTAGAGGTTTGGACGGGTCACAGCGGTGATGTCATACGCAGCCTACCAGAGCGATACCCAGGCGCGTGCGGCGTGTGCGGCGTAGGCAGGTGATGAAATAAGTTGTCCAAGTGACAGAATTGGCAGAAACAGACAATCAGATGCACCAGGCGGACCAGATGGATTTTGGAAAGGAAGCATGTACATATATATATATATATATAATGCACCAGGCGAGAGGCGGGGCAGACTTTTACAGAAGGCCTCGGCCTTGGCAAAATGGACATACGCAAACCGAACCCTGGCCATGAAATATGCTATGAATCCCTGGCTCAAATAAGGACAGAAACCAAGCCATGTCAAGCTCCTGCTTTTGTGTTCAGTTTTTGTGCAGGTTGGACACCTCGCTTTGCCATGGTTTTCATGGACCAGTGCGGCCGCGGGCTGAGATTCTTCGGAGTTCACATGAGTTCACCCATTCGGTTGAATTCCTCTTCGGGGTGCTCGGCCGTCGGCCTAGCAGTCGACATGCCCAGTTGGTCAGTTGGTCCGTTCAACTTCACTCCTCGGGGCTTCACTCAGGCTTCGCATCTCCGACTGGATGCGAGGGTTAGCAGTTGTGGGTAGAGAGAGAGAATGAAGCTCCACAGGCGAATCACTGACGAACCGATCACCTCCGACTTGATTGCGCACAAGGGCTGGGTCAGCAAGGACTTCAACGGATCCAAGGGCATAGTCTTGTGTTTGCCAGACCCCTTTTTTCTAGAAGTTTATCATCTTGAAAAAAGATTAAAAAAACAATCACAAAATGCAACCAGAAACACAAAGGCAATCATAACAGCAAAAAACACACAAACAAAAATGCAAGCAAAAATGGAACAGCTCAGCCGGGCTTTCTGGCGCACTTTTTGGGGAACGCTTTCTGGCGCACTTTTGAGGGAGGGTCCACTTTCTGGTGCACTTTTGGTCGTTTTTTTTCCTCTCCGGGGCCGGGCTCCGGGGCCGGGTAAAAAAAGTCGCACTTTTGGTCGTGTTTTTTTTTCCGCATGTTTTCTGCAAAAAAAGCAAACATAAAGCGAAAAAAAAGCGACCCAAAAGTGCGACTTTTTACCCGGCCCTGGAAAAAATGGTAAAAAAGAAGCGACCAAAAGTGCGACACTTGACCCGGCACCAGAAAAGACCCTTGTCCAGTACTAACCCTACCCGGCCCCTCCAAACTACCCTTTGTGTTTTGCTTGTGTGTTTTGTTTGTTTTTTTTTCTTTTTTTGTTGCTTTCTTGGTTGCTCTTTGTTTTGCTTGTGCTTTTAGGTTGCACTTTTTTTGTTTTTTTTGGCTGTTTTGGTTGCTTTTTGTTTTGCTGGTGCTTTTTGGTTTGCTTTTTTTTTTTTCTCTCCGTGTTGTTTCAAGTTTGTTGATTTCTAGAATAAAGCCGCCTTTGGTGGACACAAGCATAGTGGTTGAAGCTGCTAGAGAGATTAAGCAAACCATATCTATGAGGTCCCTAGCGGTACCTCAAGCAGATCATGGGAGTTGCTATAGTTTGGTGCCTGGTCTTGGTTCCCAAGGAAGTGGAGCCTTGTGATGAATATCTCGTTTGATAACCAGGAGTGCTGCATGGTGCAGCACCCACTTTCAGGTGCCTCCAAACAGGTGTCCCGGTTGGGTGAATGCGGCGCTTCCACCGGATCTTCCCCTTGGAGACCCTGCACCCCAACATCGGATGCTTCGGTAGACCGCCCCTAGGTTCTCGCTTTTGGGCGGACCTTGAGCTCTTAATCAGAGAGGCGGGGGCGGGGCTCTGCAGGTACGGAGCCTGTGGCCAACTTGGAGAAGCCCCAGCCCCGGGCTCCATGAAACATGCACGGTTTTGGAAACTCCAGGCGTGAGGGCATGAGGTGGAGGATAAAGAGAAAGGAGACAGGATGACATGATACAGACATGGTCCCCAGGCGCCGTTGGCCTGTCAATGCGATTGCCCTGACGGCCTCGCATGCAGGACATGCTGCTGCCAGGTGCCGTGATCCTGGTCCCTTGAGTCGCAATGGGTGCAGGGCTGCAGGGCTGTGCTTCCCCCTAGCGGCACTCGTGTTGACTATGTATTATATACTAAATACTATTGAATTGTATTTATATATATATATATACTGTATATAGTATCAATCATTACCCTGGACCCCCGCCAAAAAGGAATGTACAGTAACACCACAGGGGGATGTACGGGGGTGATCAAGGGTTAACGTCAACCTTACTTACTTCCACACAGGCCTTTCCCCTGGCTCAACACGTGCCACGTGCAGCACATACCACCAAGCTTCAGATCCAAGTTGCGAAAGGCCATTTCGGCCTGGCCCACCCGGCAAGCTCCTTGAGTGGACACACCGCAACATGCAAGTCGCGCAAGTTTGTGATGTTATTGGGTTACAGTACCTGGCATGGCAGCTTCTCGGCAAGTCAGTGCATAGTGCGTTTGGATTGCGGTTTTCCATGTCCAGATTTCATTTGGGAATGTCCATGCGTAATGCATCGGCATTCACCTTTTTCTTGCCAGATCTTCGCTGTACAGTCGGGATTCGGGAACTGTATGCGATTCCGGATGAGATGGTCCAGACATGATCCAAAGGATTGGGGACTTTGGGGATAAATCCTGTATATACTGTAAGCCTTTGGATACTGAAAACCAAGTCCACTTGCAGGAAGCGCAGCAACTGCTCTGTGAAATGACACCCTTAAACGCCCCCGATGCCAATTGAGTTTGGGCCCACATAGTAACAGGTGCACCGCTACTAGTAGCAAGAATCTACTAGTAGCTTCTTGTTGCTAGTAGAAATGCCCTTGTTATTAGTAGCGATGCACTTGTTACTAGTAGCTTCTTGTCACTAGTAGCTATCCAACTCTCCAATTTTGGGGATGGCTGGGCTTGGTGTTCATTGTGGTTTGGAGCAAGCAAAGCTGCCTTAAACGGCCTTGAATCGTTTTGCATCAACTTGTTGTGACTTCGAAATGCTCGGCACCCTATACAGGACCGTAAAGTAGGTTTGTTGTGTGTTCAGGATTTGGTGTACTGTTGGCCCAGGCAGACAACGTACTGAAGCCAGGAGTCAGGGCAACCCAGAGGATGCTCGGAATGCTTCTGGAGGTGTTGTGATTGGATTCAAAAGTTGGTGTCTTAGCTTCCCCTCATTCTGTGCTTATTCTTTTTCAGACCTGTGTGGCTTGTTTGGACTGGCAGGGTTGGGTGGGTAGAACAGATGCAAGACAATCAGCAGGTGACAAGGCTTTGTTTCACCATGCTCCAGTCTACAACCCTGTTGTGAGTGAATCTTGGACTGCCAGATAGGTAGAGTCCTTACATTGCTCTAACGTAGCCACTAGCAGATTTGAGATGCTTGCAAGGCTGGGTGTAGAGATGAGTCGAATTCAAGGCTTGATCCTCCCACCAAATCCCTCACACCTGGTTCGTAGACGGATTTCCGTGGGCGTTTCCGACCCCCGCGGGGGCGAACCGTGGCGTCGCTCGAGGCACCGCTCTTTCTTTGGCAGCTGTTCCATGGCCGAGGTCGCGGGGGGGCCGAGGGGTCGCGTCAAGGGACCGGGGAGGGCGAAAACAGACACTTCTGAGGCGAAAACGGCTTGCTTGTAGATCGATGCATCAATGGAGCATTCATGAGAGATTTGGCTAGGTGGTTAGTTGATACCTATATAGCCTATAGGAGCTACAGGGCTCTTGACATCTCTTGACCAATAGGTGGGATTGGACAGTTCTTGTTTTTGGGATGTTTTCGGTTGTAGACAGAAGATGTGAACTCGCTCATCCTCGATCATCCTCGTTGTGGATTTGGCCCGCCCACTCGTTCATCCCACTCCCGCCTCGTTTGGAACGAGAAACGTCCATCGGGCCGGGTGTTTTATGACTGGCTTTTCGTATGCCCCAAGCTGGACAAGTTTGTTGGTCCACAGGTTTCAGCGCCAGACACCATGTTTCCACATGTTTCCACACTCATACAAATCATACAATACAACATATATAATATATTTAAATAAATATATATATATATTTTCGTTTGGAAGTCTTGCTTCTCTTCCATGTTGCCCAATGTTCTGGCAGCCTAAAAGCACCTCCAAACTGCATAGCACAGCTATCGCCGGGGAACGACCAGGGACGTCATATGTTGTGTGACTCGGTGGCTCATGGGTTCACGCCGTTTGGGGTGTTGCGACATGGCGTGCCCGATGTGTCGGCTTCCAACTTGAACGGGCTCCAGCCCAGTGCCCAAAGAACAGCGAAAGGAAGCGCTTGTGGAGCAAAACCACGTTTCAAAGCCCACAAAATGGTTTGTCATTTGCAAGCTTTGGATTTTTTTTGAAGGGAGCGCTGCATGTGAGGAATATGATGTTGTGAAAACCGAGCCATTGATTTCGTGGTGTCCTGAACCTGACGAAGTGCCTAAGGCGTGTCAGAATTAGAATATCACCTCTCGGTTCCAAACAGGTGTGGGTTCTTACACTCACAACATGTTGGAGACTGGCACGCCTTTCGCCCTCAAACAACATTAGTGTGTGATATTTTCAAACACCTTATGTCACGAGGCAACCTGACATTTGTTGCAGCAAATTTAAGCAGATAATCATGAGGCCTGAATCAATAAGTGATATGCCTAGCTTATTTGCCTGACGATGTTGTGATGAAAATTATAGTGGCATGAGACTGTGACACTGTTATGCAAATGGCTTTGCTCAAGATGCTGTAAATGAGGTGTGAGTCAAGGCCAACAATGCACGATTCACAGTAATGACGCTGCGAATGACGCTGGTGGAGCACCATGTGAGAATATGCCGCAGATTGCAGTATCAACGGTGAGGGGTTGCGAAGGATGCGGCCAGAGGAATCATTCCAAGGCTTACCAAATGTCTACAACTCCTGGCACAGTCGTTTGCCTGCTAGTAATTACCAACAACACGGTTCATAAAACCAGTCAGTCAACACGTGAACATGCTTCGTTCGTTTGGATGGTGCAAGCAAAGCCTGTTTGATGGCCAGGATCTGATCGGAATCCACCTAAGTCAGCCGAATCTCCGGCCAAGGTGAGCTTTTCTCGCAGCGCCAGTTGATCAGCTTGGAAGAGCCTGGCACTCAGCCCGACTCTGCAATGTGCTCGGTTGGTTTTGAGGATGGAAATTCGAAGCACCGAAACATGCGACCTCCACAGCGACCCCCACAGTGTTTGAATGGAAGACTGTCAAAAAAAAACAAGAATTCTTGGCGGCTTTGGGCCTTCATTTGTTCTTGATACATTGTCAACAGTTTGTCAGTCTTGACTCTGTGGGTGAAAGAGAAAAGGTTTGCCAATACAGTTTGAATGATAGCTGCCTACTCATGTTCTCACATGTTTTTGGGTCGATTGGCTGTGCCCCCCTTCGAATACTATTTCTTGAATTACGACAGCGTCAAGTAGCATGTGTGACCGATGCAAGGTTTGCCATGCCTGGTGTTGAGGTGCAACGAAAGGGCGGGCAGCCACCGGCATGCGTGATAAGCAAAGAGACTAGAGTAAGTTTACCAGGTTTGATATATTTCCAGACTTTGCTCATTGTTGCTCATTCTAACAAATCCGTTTTGACTAATGTTGAATCCCCATGAGTGTAATGGGAGGAAATATGAGGAAATAGTAAACAGTTTCACACACACTGAGTAGTTCAATGGGAGGGAATGATACAAAGTTTTTGTTTTTTTTTTTCCCAGGGTGTCTTTTTTGAGGTTTGTCTTGTCTATTGAGTCTATTGATTTAGACCACCACCATCACCACCTACTAGGGACGTACTACTACCGTTACTACCTACTAACTACTACTACTACTAC